GGGTTCATCGCATTTAGTGCCAATTAATTACAGGATAATAATGAGTGAAGAAGTCAATGAAGAAATGTTCAGTTTTAGGGGAGGGAGGAAAACCCCAGATAAATGTTTCGGGGACAACCCACGGACCCAAGATTGCACTCTTGGCCATGGAACATACACAGCATACCCAGAACCAAAACAGAATTGGAAACCTGCTTACCCAGGCAACTTCCAAACAAGGTGACGGCTGTGAAGATTCCCACTGTGACTGTGGACCAGCAAATTGGGGCGCCCAAGCCCAGCAAGACTGATGTGCCTAGTGCACCCTGGAAAAAAGAGACAAAAAACCGAGAGTGATGAAAAAGAGCAGTCCCATAAGCCCCGCCCACTGCGCACGTGGGCACTTAGCATTAGTTAGCAAGAGCTCTTCTGCAAGGGTTTTCTCCTGGGCCACTGATATTATGGGCGGAGATCAAACAAATGTTGCAAAAATTCTAGTGTTTTCAAAAAGGCCTAAAATACACTCGACATAGTTCAATCTACGTGTACTTCAAGAGGCATAAAAGAGGGCATGTTCTTTTTGGTACTCACTGCATAGATGCGCCATCAGGCGGGCAAGGATACGCGCATTTGACACGGAGCGCACCAAGTACGCATAACTAATTTATTCTGGCGTGAACGGTTTTTGCATACATGCAGAAAGCAAGAACTCGCTAGTAACCACCTGTCTTTCTTTCCCCAATTGGGGGTGCATTTCAGCTAGGGGTGGATAGTAGATTTGACACCAAATACACCCTAAAATGAAGTGATCTTGTATTTTGTATCTCTCTTTACCGTTCTAAACGATTTAAAACTGATCCATTTCAAAATGGCTAAGCTATAAGCTAATAGTAAACCTCAACAAGAAAGCCTGAGGTGGTCACTAAAAAACAGTGAGGTGGGCTGCCTCACACTTGAATAGGCAGGGAAAATCCTGTCTTCCCAATGCCGCACTACACGTTCCAGCCCCGCGCATCAGGTGCACGTACACTCGTGTAGCATGTCAAGACTTTTGTGCACGCACGTTGGACATAAATCAGGCTTTGATTGATCAGGAAACAATGGGTCGGGCTCCATGGATTGGTCTAATGCAAGTCTCCAAAAATATCACTGGAAACAAAGAACCATTCTTTCTTTGGCTATCGGACTGAGAGCAAAACTGAAGGCCGGTGACTCACCTGAAACATCAACGTGAAAAAAAACCCCATCACAATTAGCAGAGCCAGTCGGATATGTCTGTTGTCCTCTTTGACACGAAACACCACAACGAGACTTAGGAACATATCCGAAAACTGGCGTACAGCTGGTAAATAACAACAAACACGTATACAGTCAATTGGAGACTTACTTTTTTGTCAGAACTAGATTTTTCAAAATCAGCAAGTACGTAATCTAAATGTTTAAAGGATCCATGAAATGAATTTTCCTACAAGGACATTTGGTACATGTATATACACGTCTCTGTACTCTTCTTCAATGTGTGAAGACTGTTTGACATCTTTTTGGGGGTTACGTGAACTGGAAAGTGTTTTTTTAAACATTCAAAATTGACCAAGCATTTCTGGACAAGTGAGGGCGCATTTGCTTTGATGTAAATCCAGGAAGACATGGTTCAGGTTGCATGTTTTCATGTTCAAATTGTTAACCCCAAATTTGCTATCTGGGAACATTTCTGTGGAAAGGATTTTTGCTGGATTATTGCCATATACTTACACAATAAATTGCAAAAGGAAATGAAATCTACTATAGCAGTGTTTCAAAGAAGTGTACAAAGCAGTGCAACATTGAAATTTAGTGCCTCGAATGACATCATAGTTTTGCTCATGAATATGCAAATATACATTTTAGCATAAAAACCAAAAAGTTCCAATATGGTTAACATTGCAAAACAAAACATACAGGTTACTTGAAACCCTAATATGCAATTTCAAGGATTTTAGTAAAATATTTCCATATCATTGTCCGTTTAATACCATATTATTACCCCTAACCTGTGAGCATAAAACAACTCCAACATACATTGTAATCTAAACACAGGTTCATGAAATTTCCGGGTCATTTTGATAACAATGAATAAATCCAACCGAGTGTCTTGATTAATGACATTACGAGACAAACCACACCTGAATACATGTATCTCACAAAAAGTGAGATTTCCAGTTTCATAAGGTCATACATGTAAGTTGACAAAAACAGAGCAATAAGGCTGACATGTTCCTCATTTTGAAAGAGCTGGTCACAAAACAAGACTCACATGAGGAACTGCTGTCTTTTTCACGCGTTTCCAGTAGCAACGTCGGTACGATGATGTAAAGAAGGGCGACTCCGCATGCGGCGCACATTGCCACAAACGGTGGGACGAAACCAAAATACTTCACCACGTAGCCCATCGCAACCTGTGCGACCGCGATGGCGAAGAACAGCGTGGTGTCGACGACCACGAAACGAAACATGCGCCTCTCCTTGGTGGTGACGTCAGCGAGGTAGGCCAGTGAGACGGCAAGGATGAGGATCAGGCTGCCCGTCAGCCCCTGCACCGCCTCCCCGATGAAGAGGTAGTACGGTGACAGGTGGAAGCCGGTGACCGCCAGGTAGACCGCGGTGTTGACCCAGATCCCAAAGCTGCAGATGAAGAGTGCGGGCTTGCGGCCTGCATGGTCACTCCAGACACTCAACAGCGGTGCAGACAGGATGTTCAGGCCTGAGCTGCACAGGACCAAGTACATGACCCGCAGGGCAGTCTCGGCCTGGATCTCCTCCTCTAGGAGATACTCCGGGCTCGAGGTGTTCACGTTACAGTTCTGATCCCCGCCTCCGGTTGTGCTGTTGATGCCGTGCTCCCGCAAGACCAGCATCCGCATGTATTCGGCGCGCAGTGTCGCAATGGTGCCGTAGGCGACGAGGCAGGTGAAGATGACCGGCTCGATGGTGATCCAGCGCCGGCTGGCCCGTAGCCGGTTTCCATCCCATTGCCTCTTGTCATTGTCATCAGCAGGTTTGGTCTTAATCAGCAGTTCTGTCTCTGTTGCATCAGTCATTGTGGTGCTGGCATGGACAGCCTGCTACGCAGAACGATACACTAGTTCTGAAGCGACGACCACAAACAACATCAAGTCCACTGCAACAAAATGCATGACATTAAAAATCACTACACAGTGCTCTCCATTACTATCCTATTGGTTGGCCAGTGCATGTACATTTATATGTAGTACAGTGCCCACTGTATATGACCCACTTTAGCATATCTTTCAAATTTCCTCATGCAGTGAGACACACATTTTTTGTTGAAAACTTCAATAATTCAGCTCAATACTAAAAAAAATGTTCTATCCTGCCTTCATCTTTTTCATATCTCAATGAAGTCATCAGTCATTGCAGAAATGCTCAAAAAGACATGAATCTGGGACTGAGAAAAGTGTCCGATTTTGTTAGGAGTTTCTAGACTGCTAAAAGACGTTGTACACAACCAGTCACATTCAGGCCTACCAGGGTAAATACCAAAACAGGGAATTTTTCACACCTGTCTGAACTCAGCTCTGAGTCTCACTGGGTTTGTGCACAGGGTGTCAAGAGATGTCGGTGCGGGCATGAAAATTGAAGGTAGGAAAACACCTCTGTGGTGTTCGGAGAGCTACTTTGCAATTAACTCGAGTCTCCGAGCTATACTCTTGCCATGCACTCACACAAGCCAAAACTGTCATGACCAGATGACAGAGCGTAGTGAAAATGAAAGTTCAACTAGGCCTACTGATAATGTCAACGGCATGTGATTATGATCACGTGTGGAGCCAGTAATGAAAAACATGAAACAATAAGCCTTATTCATTGCTCATACAGCATGAGTGACTTTGCACAATGGTCGCAAGGCATTGTGGGAAGAAAAAGGGGGCAATGTTGGCTCCTTTTTCCTTCCCACAGTGCCTGTCTATCATTGTGCAAAATCACTCATGCATTAGCATTAGCGATAACTTACTGAATAAGGCTTATGACTGGTAGGCCTTGCAAGCAGCTAAAGTAAGTACTTACATTCCGCTCAACCGATCACTGTCGATGTCTCTGACGGACGGTGACTCTGGCGGTCCAAACTTTCTTAATACCAGTGATCAGCACCTACATGTACGTCCAGGCCTACGCCGTTGATGTAACTGGCGTGGAGCACCTTTCGGCCCTTTGCCATGGGAAAACACACACCTCAGACACTTTGGTCGATCCCGGCTTATTTTTACCGCTATATCAAAAAGCGATTATGTCACCCTCAGCAAACTCTTGGGTAAACAACACGCACCCAAAGATTGCATGCGCAGCGGCGCAAAACAATCTTTGCTACATGATTAGACAAGAACTCGACCAATGAAGGCTGTCCGAATTATTGGCTATGGCTGGAATTGCCACTCTTAATTACATGTATATGTAAGCCACTAGCTTGCGGCTTCCCACAATTTCTACGGCCGGCCCACGAAGTGTGAGAAAGGCTCAACCGGCCAACCGTACCACCGCGTGACGGACCATAATAAAAGCGCCCCCAACGACATCAATGAGGAACCAAAATATTAAATGCTGTTTCAACAGTACAGCGGGCAAGTTGTGTTGTTATAAAATTCTCTCAGCTATCACAGTGCCCTTCCCCACTGGGAAGGAACGTAAATACTGGGATATTGGAACAAATGTGTAACTCTATATAATTTTTGACCGAGAACTAGGATAGGTTGAGGTTTATTCTCAAGATTCTTTTTCGAACTGTGTGGCTAGACCTCTCGACAGAGCCGACATCGTCAGTAAACACGAACGAAAGCACGCAAGGACAATGTGATGATTTGAAGTTAAATTGTAACAAATAGTTACACCTGTATCCCATTTTACTGATAGATAGAATCGTTACTAAGGCTGCAATTAGATGGGTGTGGGACGCAATTCCCAAGTGCCGATAAAATTAAAGTCTCATCATATTTCCAGATTTTAGAGCAAGGTGCGAAGAGATTTGTGTAAGGATAAGTCATTGGCTCGTATTATTTTCTGACGGTGAATAGTTAGAACGACAAATTCAAAGTTATCCCTCCGCTCAGTTTTTTACCTAGCCATCATAAAGACGGGTTTATGTCAAACTGAGTACATAAGGTTACATCTGGAAAGCTTTGAGTCTTCGGCGAATACTATGGGGGTGCAGCTAGCGAAGCTGAGAACCATGATGTCGGTTTATTTACACATGTTCCATTTGTTCCCGAATGACCTCGGACCAGTGCGCTGTTGGAATACCGATATTTTACTGCTAGGGGCCAAACCTTTGAATTGAGTGGACAAAAAAAAATGAATGCCGTCCTATAACCTACTTTGTACTTTCAAAAGCTCCCGTCTCCACTTCAAAATAGCAGCCAGGTTGCGTTTATGTGCTGTTCGCTGAATGAGGGTTTCGTGACAGGTTGTTTTAATGTACATTCAGGTTACTGTTTTATGATGCCGAGCGACGTCACATCACGATTTGATTTTTTCGTTGTTTTTTGATAGTACAGTCGATTGTTCGGCTCACAATATGTGTTTACTCTGAATAAAATCTTTATCTTTACATTAAGTAGACAGCTGTCAATGCAATGACACAAATCCATTTTTTTTAGGAACAAAATGAAACACTGTGAAAATGGATCGGTCAGTGTCCAATGTCGCGAGGTGTTTTTTAAAATGAATATTCCTTGTGACCTGCATCATTAGCCGAACCTTATCCCAGTGTCATATGATTTTAGCTAGAAAATCTGTTCTCCTTTTCCTTATGGACTCCATGCCTGTTTGTATATACTGCTGGTCATGTGGAGTACGGTCAACAGTCCCTTTTTCCCCAATAAATCTGGATTTCATAATACGACAGTCTCATACTCCTTCCGCAATCTAAAGGCCCCGGTAAGAACTTTCCATTTTTTCAACATGCATTACCTGTTGAACCAAAGCCCCAAAGTGTTCCACGCTGATTCAACTTGAAACTCTTGGGCGAAGTTATGTGCAATTTAGGAAGAGTACTTCAGGAGCCTTCAGAACTCAGGCGTAAGGGCGAAATATGCGACTGCCGTCTGGATACAATCTTCCAAGCGGGTTTGAGATCAAATCGCCTATTTAAAACGAGGTCTAAATGGATAGAAAAATAGGTGACTTTTTTAATCGCCAGAAATTCTATTTTGCCGGCCAAACAGGTGCAAGCTGAAGACCTTTTTTCGCTCCTCTTGTCAAACCCTTCATTTGTCATAGTACACGTACACATGCAATCGTTATGCCGGCAATAAACACGGCATACAGGGTCCTTCGGCCTTCATCCTTCGTCAATTGTCATCTTCAAACCTATTCACCTGCCTGCAGTTTTAAGCCTCATGCTCGTACGGGAACATTTTCGAGACCCTCGCAAATTATACGCTGTTCCCAGTCTGCGTGTCTCTAAACCTGCGAGTCCTCGTCGTAACAAAGGTAACTCCCCGGTAAACTCGCATTGTCCTTGCCGAAACAGGCCCTGCCATTCTGTTCGATCTGTGATGATTTCGCCATCAATAGGAAGCAAGCAAGCAGAAGGAAAACAAAATACACGAGGTGTCCCACAATGAGATTCAAAGCTTTTCGACTGCACAAGTTGGCATGTGAAAATAATTCCTTATCGAAAAAAACACTCAATTACCCGCCTGACGCACTTCTGCATGAATGCAACCGAGACGTGTTTTTTTTTCGTATCAGTTCAGATCATGAAACGTAAAGCTTCGTGTAGTCACATTCACGCAAGCACAAAGGACTATGGACGCCCTTGCCAAAGTCGACCACAAAGTTGTGATATAAAACTTCGCCTCTTGCGCCCGCCTCGGTCGCTAATACACCGCGCGTGTTTAATTTGTTTGGGTATTGGGGGATTTTTAATTGTTTTTCTGTTGTTCCCTTTGAGCCTTTATGACTTTTCACGTTTTCACATAAATCCTTTGTTCTTGTTTCCCGTCTGCCTCTCTCGTAAAAATTTTTATTCACAATGTCTGACCGGGGTCTCTTGCTGCTTTCAAACCCCTTTCACTTCCATATGCAGCAAGGTATGAGACGGAGAGAACCCCCCTACTTTGTGCTGGTCATTGTCTCGCAGGAATCTGGGGAATTCCTTTCAGACATCTTGGGGGGGGATGTGTTAAGTAAGAATAGTCTGGAATGTGTATAGGGATTGGACATGTTGGGGGAACCCCTCGGTCTCATTTCTTGCTGGGTATATTCACTCCAGCTCTCTGATTATACACGTAGATGTCTTGTCAACTGAATGTTACGGCGCTCTGTGAGTGCCATCCGACTTGTTCAGATACTGATAAAATTCATCTTTGGAAGTCGACTTAAAAAGCGTATTTAGTCGATTGAACGAGATAAGTGATGTATTTAAGTTGACTTCCTAAGTATAGTAAGTCGACATCGTAAGATATTTTATGATATCAAGCCTGTTTCCAGAGTTCCCTATATCGACTTGGCGAAATAATTTATATTATTAAGTTGACTTCCTAATTCTAGTAAGTCGACTTGGCGATACAATTCATGTCATCAAGTCTACTTTCAGATTTCACTATGTCGACTCGTCGCAATATATTGCTGTCAAGTCGATTTCTAAATTCAAGCAAGTCGACTTGGCGAGAAAATACGCTGCAGGTCACGTTCACTTGTGAGTAGTCAGTTCATGCCTGTATGTTGTACACTTGATGACATGGATTATCTCGCCAAGTTGACTTTATGACGTATACTAACAACATAATTTATATCGCCAAGTCCACACAATGAATTTTAAAAGCAGACTTGATGACATCAATTACCTCGCCTAGTCGACTTGCGACAATTAGGAAGTCGACTCACTGACATAGATTATCTTTTCAAGTCGACCTACCAGAATTAGGAAGTTGGATGGACTACATAAATTTCCTTGCCAAGTCGTCTTCCCACAATTGTAAAGTCGACTTGACAACATAAATTATCACGCCGGGTTGACATCAAAAGCAGACTTGATGACATAAGTTATCTCGCCAAGTCATCTCATCAAATAAGGGAGTCGACTTAACTATATAAATAATCTCGCCAAGTTGACAAAGGGAATTCCGAAAGTAGACTTGATGCAATGATATATCTCGCCAAGTCGACTGACTGGAATTGGGAAGTCGACTTGACTACATCATTTATCTCGTTAAATCGACTAAATACGCTTTATAAGTCGACTTAATAAAAAATATTATCTCGGTATCTGAACAAGTCGGATGGCACTTCCAGAGCTCCGTAGAATGTTCAGTTGAACGCCGATTTTTATTTGTTCCTTGACCCAGGAGTTTCCTGGTCATTTTCGTTTTCCTAGGTACCTAACAAACATGATCTCCCACAGTTTTCCCCTGCTAGTCCAACCCACACAAACGCTGATTGTTGTCGCAATGTGTCTATTATCTGACAAAGCCCTCGCCTCTCCAGATTTGTGGGTTCTGTGGAATTCTCCCGAACAAACAACGATAATCTAAGTTCGAAGGGGAAATCTTATCCAGCACAGTTACCCGCGAGATGAAAGGATTGAATAGCGTCGACGTCTTCATGGGCCTTTTTTACTCTCCCCATTATGGCAACTCAAAGAATTCTGCAGTTGAGCTTGCTGTAGAAAACAACAAATCCCACCGAGAGCCGATTTTGTTACGTAACTGAAAAAAAAGGAGGAATTCCTAAAGTGGCTGCGAAAACTATGGCTGGCCGTCAGTACAAAGATAAAAGAATAACTCCCAAAATTTTTAAAAATCCCGCACAGCTATCAGAACACCAGATAAAAATACAACTACTACTAAAGGCTAAATGGAAATTTAACCTGGTTTAAAGTTAATGGATCAAATGTCACCTTTGAACAAATTTGAGGTAAAATCGAAAACCAGTCAACAGGTGGTATTTCTGTAAAATTTGGCCGCCCATACAAGTTGTAGGCAAAATGAGAGCGGGTCTGTAGTGGTGGGCGTATCACCGCACACCTTAACGCGAGTCGGCACTTCATGGCAACAGATTGACCAGCCAACATCGTGCCGCAACTGTCTCTGCCCGCTAAAGGTAAAAAAATATCAAATCTTTTCTTCTGCGAGCAATGCACACACTACGGGATGTTTCTAATGGTGTATTTTGTAGTCATCACGGTGGCTATCCCAGCGGCGTATCTACATTTTGGTGTCAGGGGGCAAAAGTTAATGCGGCTTCGGGCTCTTTCAACATGAGGTTGGGAGGAAGAAAAGTTGAAAGCCTTGCTCACGGTCCCGACATCCTTACGTATTTGCTGTTTGATACATGTTTTTCTTATGGTTGTGGTGCAAATGTTTGATAAATAAATATACCGTTCACGATCTTTCCTACTCTCCTTTGAAGTATTCTTTGTAAAAAAAATTAATTAATTAAAAATCCGTTGGGGGTGGTAAGTCCCCCCTCCCCCGCTGGATACGCCACTGGACTCTTCAGTATTTCATTAAAACGTGGCACTAAGGTAGCTGAAAGGGCAGCAGATACCAGACTGCCTGAGTCGCGTTCTGAGCCCATGCTCTCACCTGTGAGACAACGGCTCGGAGATTTTCATTTGGTATTTGATGAATGTACATCGTTCCGGCCAATTCTGTAAATCTGAGGTCTAATTTTCTTCATGTCCTTGTCACATGTGGCATAAAGGCCTAATTTTGAAGCTCGGAACACATTCTTTAATTTCCAAGAGTGATTAAATAATGTAAATTGGCAGCTTTGCAAACAAAAATAGCGTGGAGTCAATTTCAGTGTTAGTTTTATGTCAAGTTACATAGGTCACCTGTAATAGGAGATCTAAAAAAGTCACATTTTTCGACCCCAACTTAACAGAGTGACCCCTGTGCGAATTCCCAAAATCCGATAGTTTTAAAGCAGCCGTAGTATCTTCAAAGGTGTAGGGCAAACTGTTTCTGAGTCCAAACTTTCAGCTGCAATCTTTAACTTCAGTGGTTGTGTGCACAAGTGTAGCAATTTTTAATGAAATTTGAATGTCAGGGCAAAATCCATGTCTTTTCTGCAATTCTGCAATGATTGGTCTTTATTGAAATGATATGTGATGAAAAAAGCTAAGGTGGAGGCAGGATGCAACATTCTTTCCGAATTTTTGTCTGTAGTTTTGTTTGATGCCCCGAAGTATCCTGACGTGGTTGGTTGTGCAAATTGTTAATGGAGAGTCGAGAACATTTTCAAGGTATTTTGAAAAATTGAAGTATTCCTCTATTTAAACGTCACATCTTTTCTACAATTTTGCGCTGATCAATTTTGAATAAATTACCACTCAGTCTGCAGCCTCACGTACCGGTAAATAAAGTCGCATAACCGAGGCTCTTCGGCCATCTCGCACGCTGACGTAGAGAGCCGAATTGATGTCGTTTACCGCCAGACACCTGCTGAGCACCGGCATGTTCCGTTTAGTTCTGCAAGCGGAGACACTGGAAGTAGATCTAAGAAAGGGTTCCACGTTCAGCCACCACCTCATACCTCGTGGACAAGTCTATGTGTCATGAGAGAAAGATTTTTATCCTTCCAATATTCTGTTTCATCATCATCTGATCATTTTAACCCCCTGCCCCATAGGGTGTATATAAGAAATCATATTGAAATCGGAGGATTTGGGACTGTTAGGGATGGTGGCCGGATACAGAACTCTTTCCAGATCTAAATAAGCCCTAACGCTCGTTCCTAAATCCAGTGTTGGGTCGTTTCTTTCCACTGTTTTCCCTGCAGCTCCATCATGAACGGATTGAAGTGCGTCTTTCTCTTCTCGCTGGTAGCCAGCGCATTCGTATCATGCAACGCCGAAGTTGACTCCTTAGATAGCCTACTTCGGCGCGTCATCGCCGGAATAAAAGCCGAAAATGCGCAGGTAGGTAGACCAATTAGTAATAGCTTGGGCTTCAAAAATCCTTCTCAAGTGGTCCACACATATTCCACTTCAATTCAATAATACGGCCGTTTCACAATAGTGCGCCTCCAAGAGTTTGCAACGCGTTGGCCAATCACAGTGCGCGAAATTTGTCGACCCAATGCGCGTTTGGAAATGGTCGGCAAATTTCGCGCGTTATGATTGGCCAGCGTGTTGCAAACTCTTGGTGGCGCACTATTGTGAATCGCCCTTATATAGCCACATTCTCACGGAAGTGCTTCCTTGTAAGGTACTTAAAGGTAGGTATGAGCAAAGAAGAGTTGGGAGTGAAGGCTTACTAGGACAGAATCAAGTAAAGCTTTGGTGCATTTATTGTCGAGTGGGGTGCCATGGCCTTGTGGTAAGAACATCGGATTCAGAGTCATCGGAAACAAGCAGAGACGGGTAGACAGTAGACCTAGCCGTAATTCAGGAAGCCCGGTTCGGACATGGCCTTATTACGGACACGGGTTCGAGACGTATACTGAAAACTCTCATTATGGTGGTTGCACTGAGCAATTAGGGGCGCACACGTGTTACTACTCAGGTGCGCAGTGGGCGGGGCATAATGGATCAGTAGAGCCTAGAGTGGGAGCCGAAAGAACCCACGCCTTTTTAAAAACCAAATTACGTCCTTTTGATCAATACTGGCACTTCTTTTCTCTTATCTATTGCAACACAGACGGCTGGTGGTTACATTCAGCGCCTGACGTCGGGCGCGACGAAGGCCGATGGTAAGACGGCTATCGACCGCATCTCTGTGCTCGACAAGCAGGACGGTACGTTGCTGGCGTCTGGCGGTCAGGGAGCGGTACCTCTGTCCGCCATGCAGAGGAACGCCATTGTTAGCGCGTTCACGAGCGGGCGCTTCGACTCATTCCAAACCAACGGGTTGACCGTCGGCGATCGCATGTACCGCGTCGCGGGCACTCCGTCGGCCGACGGCGTAGTCACGCTTGTCAGCCGGAATGGCACCATCAACATGAAGAAGGCCAACTTCGGAATTGTCGTCGTTCAGTCTCCGAAGGGTGGAATGACGGCTGCTGTTGACGCCATGAAAACTACAACCAAGTAGTTCCATTTCAGAAACGGACCTGATGATTTATCTCAAACGGTGTAGTAAGAGTTTTGCTAGGCAAATGCATGTTTTTGTTTAATTAAACCGTTCAAACAGCCCAACCTGCATAACGCAGAGACTTTTGACAAGAAAATTGTTGACTAAACAATCATCAGTAGTTTGAAAGAATAGAAATCAAAATATTTGCATATAGTTAGCCACGAGCATGTTAATTTAAGTTTCACTATTGGTTTAAGGGAACACGATTTTTGAAACCGATTTCTATCGATATGTATACTTAATGTCGATGAAACTTTCACCAACTTTCTTATTCCCAGATAAAACCAATTTGCTTATTCTTGAAATCTGCTGAAGATATAAACGGCCTATTAAAACAGTAACGATGGATGTTGATACTCAAGTCTGTGGTTACAGTGTTTGTAATTACATGTACTGTATATGGACGAGCCAGTTAGATTTTTCAAAAAGCAAGGTCATTCGGGAACAAAGCAAGCGCTTGTCCGCGTAGGGCTGCACTAATATAAGGACAGGCCTCGCACGCGTGTCCGAATGACCTCGGACGCGCTATATGTTAGGTGATGGGCTGATGGTTCCGAATGGGCTCATTTACGGACTGCCAAACGCCGCGCCTATGCTTAACCTTAAAAGGGCCGGGACGGAATCCCCCCATATTGTTACCTGATATCATCGCACTGCATTTTTCAAGAGTTGGGCTTTTCGGTTTATAGAGTAACTCTTGGCGGTCATTTTGACACCAAGTTTGTGAAAATCGGATATACTGTTCTTGCGCAGCGCTCATTTTTCCGAGACGGGTCAGCCAAAAAGTATACTTTTTCCACTGCGGTACTCAATGTACGTGGGCTGGCCTGCGGTCAGCCTTGAACTTCAAATCACCATACCAACAACTTCACAATTGTCATATAAAGGAGTATCTTAATGCCAAGTCTCCGAAATTCGAGCAAGGTATAGCCAAGCTCTTGGGGACCCCCTCATTCTACTCGGTCTGTGAGATGGGCCAAAATAACCCGGCTCTTTTAGGGTTAACCACAACTAAACACACGTCTTGTCCTCATGATCGGTAGTTTCGTAAATTATGTTATCCACCCAGCCTCCTTCATCTGCAACATCAAGACTTGAATCGGCCAATGGCCGTGACCGGTAACCGGCACCGACGCCAGCCTCTTGAAGGTCGTCGCCGTCTGCACAATCTGACCGTTCACGAATGGGCACCGGATCGTCTCCATCTCCTTTCCGCGGGTAAGATTCACCTTCTGCAGCAGTGGAAAGATGGGCTTCCTCTACGTCATCGGCAAGCTCCACGACTTCGTAAGGAGATGGCCGTGTCGTCAGGCCGTAGGTATTGTTCGCGTGCGCCTGACTGATTCCGGACTGGTCTTTCTTCATTCCAACGCGGTCAGGCTCTTGACCGATGTCTCCACTGCTGGCCACTGTCTCGTCGCTTTGCAGTTTTCTCCTATGTTATTTCAAGTAGGGGAGGTGTTTTACTTCAAAAGTTTTCTTGCTAGCTTAAAAGTCTCAAAAAGTTGGCATTTGATTTCCTCTTTAACAGATATAAGAAATACTATATACATGTACCGTGTTTTCTAAGAGCTTTTAAGAACAAGTCACATGCATGCTTGCTGACGTCGAATACTAACATATCTATACTAACAAGTAGAGGCAATGGTTCCAGTCAAATTTTTTCACAAGTTGAGAACGCTATCCAGCCCTGTCAATATAAAGGGCAAACTCAATATTAAAGTTTACTTTCCCCAGAGTAAAATTTCATCAAAATGTTTGTCGTAATCAAAATTTTATAATGCTAAGGACGCCTCGAAATTTACAGTTCCCCAAACTCAAGTTAAACAAATTTTATTTTCGTATGATATCGCTTGAGCTCACACTTGGGCCCCTGTTAGAAATGTGTATTTTTTAAACAATGATAGGTTAATTGAAATAGTGTATAAAACTGGCACCATTAGTTTTTAGGCCTACCGTTTCAAAACGAAGACTCCAAACAAGCCGCAAGCGAGTATGAAAAAGAGCGAGAGTGAAACCGACACCCCGACGACTGTTCCTGCGTATAAGACAAGATTCACACAATTTCATAAAATGAAGCATTAACCGGAAATAAGACGGCAGCGATCTTGACCATGCAAACTTTCGACGAAATGTCACGTGTGCGCCAAAAAACAATCAACTGACCACACAGCGAAGGCTTATTTTCCCCAACTTTTGATACTGAATCGGGTGTATGACGGTCAAACGTCTCCCTTAAATGACGTCAAGGTTTTGCTCATGAATAGGGATAACTCATGAATATACATGTAGGGAAATTAACATGAGCCCTAGTACTTCCTCGAGGTGCCTTTCTTCATGCGAGTCAACACTTGTGCCAAGCGTTAGGTATCCGTCGCTCTCGCGGCGATTTTGACGACCAAACGCCACACACTAAGTCTTGTGTTATGTTACTGGAGTTGATTTTTGTGTCTATGAAAGTGAAATGCATGAACGCTTCGTGCACGCAACGCACCCCCAAAAAACGTACATAGTCTAAAGTTGTCCTAAGGGGACATGGAAGTTGAGTTATGTACAAAGTTTTAAAATCCATACTGAATCCTTAGACAAAATGGCATAGCTACGCGTCCCATGCATGTAGTCCTACATTCTAGGCCAAATCGTCGGCGGGAGCTGGAAGCGAAAATGAACTGTTAAAGCTCCTTATTAGTTTAGGGGACCCGTTGCGTATAATAGACGTTGCTTCATGCGCTCAACTTTCACTGACACAAAAATCTACCCATTAATATAACACGCGTGGGCGTTGCGCTCGGCCATCAAAATCACCCCGGGAGCAATTTTGACGGATACGTAACGCTTGGCGTAAGTATTAACGCACATATCAACAGGCGCCTTTAGACTTATAATCATTAAAGTAAAAAGATCTTGATTTAGAATGGAGAGGTCAATCATAGTTGATTTTTCGTGGAATCGTACAATACTGTCTCACTGTTTAATTGTGTGAAGAAGTTGAAGGCTACTGAACGTTCTCTTTTTTTTTAGCGATTTCTACCTTTGCTAACTTCTGGAGTCTCATAGTCTTCGTCTCCAGGTGAATCTAGGTGCCCTTAAAAGAAAAAAGCGAAACCAAAGATTTCAAACGAGTGACTATCGTGTTTTTATGACTGGGGATGTAAACACCTTTGACTGAAAAATGAATAACTTAAACAAGGAGGCAGGTGTGTATGTAGAAGTTGACAAATCTGTTTTGAAAAGGGCTAGAGGGCGATCCGTATCGACTGCAAGGTGCTTTCTGACGTTACAGAGACTGGTTTCACACAGAGTGCATGTCTGAAGGGAAACCGAGATGAATTTTTTTTTTATGTGACTGATTATTTTGGTAAATGGTAACCATCATCTGCCTTATTATGATGTCCTCTAATTTCTTTTGACACTAAAAAATCCAAATTTCCGTCACAAATGACTGAATGGACCCAATCAGAAACGGCTTTGCACCAAAATAGCTGTTTTGAATTCAGACTGTCCAGAGATAGTTTTTTTGTCAGAATTATGCGCAGTGTTTGCTGAATGTCCCAAATGGTGATGCCCATTTAAAAGCGATGAGAACAAGGGCAGAAGTTTGCTTTGGAAAGAACGGAGCTAGGGGGCATGTTGAAGAACACTGGGGCTAGGCCGTGGAAACAATAATCCCAAAACTGTAGTCGTCTTTGGATAAATGATTTGGGCTGTGTGCTTAATGCTGCAGGCTGTTCAAACCCGTGACACATCTGAGTGCAAAGTCATTTATAACACGGCCCATAGTTCACTTGCTGCTCAGTCATGAGTGATGGAAATGTGGATTTCTTGATGTCTTAAGAAAGAGAATATAAAAATTAGTCACATTCAAGAAACAGAATAAGTAATATCGGTTTCATCTTTTTAGAAACACCCTGTCTCCATAAATAGCACGATTCTGATTGGCTGAAGGTGTTTTAGTTGCTGAGAATGTAGAATTACTCAGTTACCGTTTTGCTGGCTCGTGACTTCGAGGCATCCTGGAATCGCCTGAGACCAAATGACATTGCCAAATTTGTTCTGGATGCATTGCACCGAGCGGTTGCCGTGGAGCTCAAAACCGACGTCACACCGGAAGGTGACCTCTGACCCGAACCAGAAATCCCCGGTTTCCATCACCGAGCCGTGTGCTGGGATTGCCGGATGCGGACATTCACTGGAAGAGACTGTGATCAAAGTGTAAACAATTCTGTATATACATGTATTTCCTGTCAGAAACCGAAGCATCAATCCTTTAACGTTGATCATTTGAGAATCGGGGCTCTAAAAAGTGGTTAATGATAGCACACAATTTTACGCTGAAAGAGGCTCCGCGTATTTCATGAAGACAGTAAGCAGTACCTCGCACGGCAGAACGCACACGTACCTTGGAGGAAAAATGTATTTAAGATGGTGACAAAATATTGGAAATCTCTAACCTTAAACATATCAACCTTAAGCACAACCTTGCAAACCACCGCCATGAAATAGCGTTTTAGGCCTAATGATAAGTAGCCTACAGCTTTTTGCTACGGGCACGTACGAATTTTCTGCTGTTAGCCCTTACAGTCCCCAAATTCTCCGATTTCAGTGATTTTTACATATCGTTCACCCTAGGGGTTTAAGCAGCGCCATGAAATTGGGCTGGACCTATTAACTAACCGTTGTAAACAGACATTCTCGTCTTGTTTTCGTGCGGATAATGTCCCCCGCAGAATTGCCTCTCATTCCCGGTGCAGTTGAAAGCACATTTTTGTCGGTCAGATCGCGATCGTCTCTTGTCGCTGATACGGTTACCGCAGTGGCACTGGTCGCGTTGCCTGAGCCCGGCAAGGCTGTCGTTCCTCCGCTTGCAGATCTGCAAGCATTTTTCCACCGTCATGGTGTTGTTTCTGACGACAAAACGCCCAAAGGCGCTGTCTCTCATTTCTGCCTCGTCCCAGTAGCAGCCCTTATAGCCAGGGTCTGCAAAACAAATAAGAAAGCAATATAATATGGAGCGACACTCGGATCTATGGGAAGTGACGGCAGCCGCCAGGCGGTGGATTCCAGATAGGTGCACCCGTTATCTCAAGCAGCAGCCACAACTTTCGGATGCCGTCGTGGGAAGACATGAAGGTGCCACGTGCAGCCGTGCTCCATTTACTCCACTTGCACAACATAGGCCATGTCCAAAACAGGCGTCCAGATCGACGGCTTGGTCTATCCACCTTGAGCAGAAGCATCCCCTCTCCGGTGGAAAAGAGCCCTGTTGGTCGGGCGTGTTCATTTTAAATTTGCTGGTACCGAGGCGACAGTAATGCGTGCATATTTTCATAGTCGTCTGAGAACCATAAAAGTGCAGTTCCGACTACAGGAGACTGGGTTGCTAGGAAAATAGCGCCCTTTTTTGGTCCAGCTCGGGGCTCATGCGGAGGATGGACCTATACACAAGATTCGGATGCACCCATGGTCCGACAAGATGGAACTAGTACGATCAGCAACAAAGTTTCAACCAAGGGGTTGACTTTGACCACTAACTAATTATGCATAAAATATGTACCAAGCAAAGCCGACCAGAGGTTGAAAATTGTCGCTGGCCAAATTGCCCATATCGTCAATTGACGACGGAAAAACTTATATTCCAGATTCCATAAATCTGAATTGTCTGCAGTCTCAGCATAAAATTAACCTTTTGGCATTCGATTGGCATAATTATCAGCGCACGCTTTTGCCGTTCTACGCTCTACAAACTGTTCAATCGCACCAAGAAAATTACGAGCAAGGAAATTGACTCAATCGCACTGTTATAGGCCTATCTACTTAATCTCTCAGCATTAGATTCGAGATAAGTTCCAGATTCGAGATAAGTTCAAAAGCCTAGGGAAACACTTTTGTAGCTTCGTTTTTATACTTCCAGGGCGGTTTGGATTTCTATATGATTGTAAGGATTAATGTATGTAAATGCAGTCATCCTGAAATTTCCTCATCGATCTTCCACCGTGGGAAATTAATTTAGCTGAATGTTTGTTTTAGAAAAGTTGCTTTTCGTGTGGAAAACTGAATAAAAACTGGTATAGGTCCCAGGATTCGCTGCTACAGTGAAATATGATCAAGAAAATCATGAGTCAGATAGCGGGTTTAAATTACAAATGCCATGTACTCACGATCAATGATTTGTATGCTTTTAGCTATCAGGAAGAGCAGTGCTACCAACATACTCCTGGCCGCCATGTCCTTTTCCTTGTAGAATACAAACCACAACATGAATAAGCCAGTTCGGTGTTAAAATAAATGAAAATACGTGTATGCACGCACACATGTAAATTACGTTTTTTTCGAGATAATGCTCCAAACAGATGACAAATGTTTCTTCAAAACAGGAAGGCAATTATTATTTCTGTGATATAGAGGGCGCTCTTATAAGTGCATAGCTGTATACAGAGAAAGTATTGTCAACTTTAGACTTTGAAACCAAATGGCTGTATATTATGTATGTAGTACAACATGCAGCTATTGTGTGCCTACTGTCCATATGCACAGACGCATAATCCATCATTTAGTTCCAACAGTTGAGACAGTCATGTCGCAACACTCTTAACGTGGCTCTGCATTGCAATTGGGCTCCGAGCTTCACCAAGAGAGGGCGCGATTTTCTTAGCAATTGAGACTCTTTCAAAACCGTGCATCGCTGCTCACGAACGACTATGAAACGCAAGCGTGGCTGTTGCAACGCTACCAACAATCCTATGAGCACTCCCGACCACATGGCTCTTTTCAGCCGATGAATGGGTGCTTCTGCTCAGGGCCGTCAGTGTCCAGCGGCCGCATTCACCGACCAGTGGTATAGCCTATCTTGGGCAGAGTTGGAAAATAAATAAAAATAAATGCATACCATGTTCTGTGTAGATTACTTGGTGTGGACTCCCCAGAGTGACAGATATTTTATAGCCTCTTTTCGCCCTTACGGTTTATAAAATATCCACCCGTCTATAAACATCCGCTGAACATACCGCCCAGAGGCACCTTTCTAGCTTGCTTAGTGGTATGTAGTTTCCGCAATGCGCGTCTGTCACTATCACTGGTTCACGCAGTAGGCCTACGTCACAGTTTTTGGAATAATGTACTGGCTTCCAAATTACCCCTTTCTGTTTCGGTTTACACTGATCGACAATGCAACACAAACAACTTATTGCTGTTAATTAAACTGAAAGCCGTCTGAACACCTTGTTCAATAGTTTTTGGGTTTTTTTTAGAGGGGGGGCTTTTTGGCATTGTCGGTGTCAATCATCTTTTGATTACTGCATTGATGTTTTCCGCAGCGCACTTCCAGCAGTTGTCCTAAACCGGCGCCTAATTAGCCTAAAAGTTTCGGTTTTGTGAGTTTCTGTTTAGGTAAACAAAGAGAAAGAAAGAAGGGTCGCTTCTAATCCCAGCTGTCAACTCTGCAACATACGTCGGGTACCCTGTAAGCCGACACCGTGGTCACGTTTGTCAGCAACGAGGGTACCATCCTTTCGAAATCGTCGTCGTTCATAATTATTCCAGAAAGGGTGGGAAAGAGCAGCTGTTAACGCCACGAAAAGCAGGCCAAATAGTTGCCTTTCATAAAACCCCAATGACTGACGTCAATTGATTTTAATAATTGAATAAACTATATACATGCAGCAATCTAGATACACTACTTACGTCACCTCCAAAACCGAGAGCATTTTGAGAGGAAACAAGGTACACAAAAAACAAGGTAGCTGATCAACTGTCGCATGAACAGTGCTCTTATATTAATGACGTGTCACGGCTTATCTCGAGTTTTGAGTGGAGACTTGCTCCGATTCGAAAGTAATTTTTTCACTCTAACGAATCCAAATGGACAGCTTCTCTTTGCTGATCCTTTATAGTGGATTGCTACATTTGTTTTTTTTTTTTTAAATTAAATACAAACTTTTGAATGTGCCATTATATCTCAGTTATCTTAAGATTCACTTTCTGATTTACTATTTCAGTGGTTAGTTTATTGCCGTTTTCGTTTTTATGCTAATGTATTTCCATATGCATGAGCAAACTGTGATATCTCAGAGACGGGAGCCTTACACCCGTCCGGCTTGTACATCAGAAATTTATATTTTAAACAACTTTTTTCTGGAGTACAGTTTTCTTCTTCATATACCAACAGGCAAGTGATCAACCCTTTTTCAGATATGTTTTCAGCTCAGGTGAATAAATTCCGTGTTCACAGTTTGTTTGTTTGTTGGGGTGTTTGTTTGTTTGTTT